GGCTGAGCTCCGAGTCGGGATGACGTGTCTCCTAGGTTCAATTCCATCTCAGGGGTCGGATACACACGAGTCGAGAGTGTCACTGGAGATTTAGAAATCCTCGCAGACTAAGATCTCACATCTGCGCCTCCTCCACCGCGGTCGCTGCCGCCGCCATCACCGTCGAATGTCCTCCTATCGGGAGTGTCTCCGACGATGCGAGCCGCTCGAGCTTCGAGGCTGGTTGGCTGAGTGACTGACTGAGCCGCGAAAGCTTCTTCCGGCAGAGTTGTGACACCTGATACATCGGATTGTTTTGGACGGAGAACGTCTCCGGCACGCAAATCGATCCTTCGGCTCAGACTTTCAGTATTCCTGTCAGATATTTGCTCGGGAGGACTTCTCCCCGACAGACTGATTGTGACGTCTCGGCTGAAGATGCAAAACCGAATCCTGCGCGGTCGAACAGCCGCGTGAATGCAGTTGTATGAGTTGTGACGGTCATTTTAAAGCCGTTGCGAATCTATCGTCGGCGCTCATGTTTATTCGTTTACCATGATTGCTTGCTTCTTCCGATATGAACCGAGAAGCTATGAGTGCATCAGACATTTAACCTCGTCTATATAACACCCTGTTTGGGGTCTAGCAAGTCTGCCCACCATCAACACCACAGCGTGCAAGTAAAGTCGGAACCGAGCTCTTGCAGGCAATCCAAGTCGACTAACAGGCAAATCCCGAGCGAGCGAGCAAAGCTGCGAGTGGGGAGCCAAGCCAAATAAAAATTCAATCAGTCAGAGTGGCAGCAAGCGGGCTTGTGCCGCCGCTTGTGGTGCTGGTGGTTGAGGCTGAAGGCACACTCCCCCAAACGAAGACGACGACGACGACGACGACGAGGAACAGCGGTGTAGCTCTTTCGCCTCGCTCGCTGGGTCCTCTGCCTGCGCCAGTCACTCCTCCGCTCGCTCTGTCGATCACTGAAGAATCGGAGGGTCGGAGTCCCAACATGCACTGCACGGGGCTCGAGAAGAGGAAGGAAGATGACGAGAGAAGTCAGGATTATCGTAACGATACTTTAATGCTATGGGATTCACCCGGGATTCTTCGCTGAACCATGGATAGTAGGATGAGCCTACTATGCAAAACGAGCATGATCAAGCGTAAGACCGACACCTGACCCGGCAGGTGTTGGTCCTTTGGTTGGTGTTGGTGCTACGGTGTTCAAGAAGCGCTAGCCGAGATTTATTCCGACATCAATTGCTTGTCGCTGTCCCGCTGTCACGAGGGGATCTTTAATTCCTCCTGAGCCAGCAGTATGGAAGTTTCCCGAGACAGTCGCTTTAGTTCTACTTCGAAAACAAAGGCGGGGAATTCATTACCACTGAAGATGACCTCGGTCCCGTTTCGAATGACGTGGCAGGATGATCCCCGGCGAGATTCATCCTCGAGCGACTTATTCCGTTTCGCTGCAATGGCTGGAGTATGTTCTGAGCGGCCGCCACTCGTGACTAATACAGATTTCCATGACAAGAATCGACGAAATGTGATTTGGAACGACCCGGCACAATGCAACGCAGAGAAAAGACTCCGGGGCTCCGACGCGGGCGGGCGGCCGGGCAGGCAGCCAACAAGCACTAAGGCAGTCGGCCTTTGTCAGACACTAAGTGGCCCCAAATATATATTAGAATAACAATGTCCATGCCCCTTTGCCTGCTGGAACACTGGCGGACCGCTCAAGCAGCAGCGTTCGCGACTCGAGAGTGTCCACGTTCGTATAGCGGAGCCAGGTGACAAATCAGGTTAAAGGGTCACACTTCGTTACCAAAATGAGCTTCACCGAGGACGAGACAATCGACATGTACCAGCACACCATCACTGGCAGCAATAGCAGCGAACGAAATCTATGGGACCACAGATTCGAGTATCTCTCGAGTTCACGTCGCTCTCGAATCGGAAGAGAATCCCGTGGTTAGGAATGAAACACATTTTGCTCGGTGAGAGCCCCCTCGTCTTCGTATTGCTCGGTATTGGCGGTTTAGCTGGTCCGATCAGTGCTGAGAGCGGATTGATTGAAGCATTGCATGAGCTATGAATTGATGCGAAATTTCTGCTTCGCTCAGTTTTCAATTCCTGCCGACCTCAGGTCAGACCACCAAAAATGCTCCGACGACTGAGGAGCCTGCCCATACAGAAGCTATCGGCCTAAACACTCGGTCGGTCAGAGCTCATCTTGCAGCAGCTTATCATATCTAGAGAGGGATAAATCGAGGATGGTCTCGAGATCGAGAGAAACAATCCTAAACGATGCCTTGATACGCTTCTTTGAGGAGAGAGCTAGCGAGGAACATGGTCTCATTGTCTTGAGATGAAGTTCAGCAACGCGGATAATCCCGCGGCAGGGTGCTTGAGCCTATGACAGGTGGTGCCAATAGAAATCTGATCGCTACTCCAGTCGAGCACTCGTACTGCTAGGTTGAACATAGGCGAGTATAACATGATTTCCCACCAAATCGTGTTTGAAGCTCACTGCAAATTGTCAATGAGGAGGAATTCTAGGAGATTTTACCCCCATAGTGGAAGAGGAGAGATATTGTTCATGAGATCCGAACATGTTTCTCTTCCGGGACGCCTGATATTGTTCCGCTCCTTGAAGTTGCGACGATCGAGTCATCCAGGTAAACTTGAGATGGTTCGCGGCTCCTGGCCGAGCCGGATCCTATCGTCGGTGGGCTCTGCTCCTACATCGAGCATCACACCGACGCCGGTCGTCTAGCGTTCTCGGCATTCCTGTAGGGGTATTCCGGATATGGATCCTGTCAGCGAATTTGCGGGACCCGAGACGAATTTTTTCTCTACCGGAAATACCGAGAGGCAGCATCGAATGGGGAGCTTACCAGAAATGGCGCCGTCCCCGGCTCGAGTGGGGTCATTCTCCGATTCCTCAGTGACCAAATTAATCGCGAGGCACTATGGCTTCAGATTACACTCTGTAGGGTAGCGAGTCTCGTCGAGATATTTGTATTCCACCTGATTTCTGGCTTTAGTTCAGGCTTCCTGGTCATCTAGTTTGCAGTTTTTCCGGAAATGGAGTGTCTAATCAGAGTGTCTAAATCATCTCAGTCAGCTCTTTGTCGTGCCGAATGTCCCGAAGTCTGGCTCTTCCTTCGCAATGACGGAAAGTCTGCAGGTAATCCCGATTTCTGTTTGCGCCGGCTTCCCTCGCTCGCAACGAACGAATCCCAGCCGAGATACCGCTCGACCGCTTCTCCACATGCGAACATCGTATCCATGGAAAATCGAGCCGAGGGATATCAGAGCTTACCCGGCGGCGGCGCGTACTTTCGGTTCGATCCAGGCCGATAATTGGAGCCTCTTATGTTCATTCGCTGCCGAATATTCGCTCATGAGAGGGCCATCGTCCATCGGATTCTCATCCAACGAGGGTAGACAACGGAATATGAATGTTTGAAACGAGTTCTTGTTTATATTAAGAAGAAACGTTTGAACAAACCCGCTGGAAGTCGGGGAGTCGTTCTCCTCTTCAATCGTTACTTTTGTCGCAACGCCACCACCGCCGCCGCGACCGGGACTCAGGAGCGGGCTCTTTGTGGGCGGGAGCTGTAGTTCCCGCCCACCTAATCGATGACAGACTTGCCGGAGGAAAAAGCTGAATTTTGCCCCATTGTCGATGGGAGAGGAGCAAGAGGAAAAGTGAGCGAAGCAAACCAAGCAACCAAGGAGAGAACAAGCCCTCACGAAGAGGAAATCTCGATTCCTGGGAGCTTTTGGCTTCCCTGAACGATTTCTCTTGGAAAACTCCAACAGAGGTACTCCCGTTATTCGGGCTCCGCGCGTGTTTTCGCTCCAGAACTCGTTTTATAAATGGTTTCGGGAGCTCGTGTTTGAGCGTACGAGCCTCGGAGGGGGTCCACTTTGTCATGAAATTCTCGGTATCTATAGTCGCATCGATCCCCGCGATCTGCTGAACTAATGAATCGAATAAATAATAATAAATAGAATCCGCAAGAGCGGAGACCGACGACAACATCGACCAGAATATCGCCTTTGGTGATTTTTCCCTGTCGCCGGACGATGAGGGAAACGCTAGAATAAGACTACCGCAATCGAATCTGTCCTTATTCGAGAGTCAGAAAGTCAAATTGTCCGAAAAGGAAGTCGAATCATCATACGACGTTCAGAGCTGAAATCAGGCGTCCATGTCCCTAGGCCCCGGAAGCTCAAGAACGGACCGCGGAGCGAGTTCCACTCCGCTCTTGAAGTCCCTCAATGTCTTCTGATCTCGCATCGAGGAGTTGAGGAGATTTCATTATGATCAAGTCCGATTTCTGACCTCCCTGGAGAATGTGCAGGGACCGACTCCCTGATCGTGTCTCCGAGGGAACGTTTGCAGCGAACGTATAGAGTCGAGCCCGACCGATTCGAACTCTTCATCGGTAGTTTCATTTTCTGATCAAAGACACAGCCACAGGATTGCGGAACTAGAACATTTGACCAGAGATTCCACATTCCGAGTAGTTCAAAGCTGATGAGGTCCGCTCACAAAATATATGTTTGCCTTCTCTGAGGCAATCCCTTCTCTCGCCGAACTGAGAATCTGAACTCATAGTACGCGAGGCGAGGTCCGATCACCGGGAGGACTATGCTGCTCTACTCTGTGTGATTCTCCACAAGCCTGGAAGAGAAACAACGCAGCAATTATTCCAAACCCTCTCATTCTCTCCACACGCAAAAAGCGAACGTTCAACACTGAAACCCGGGAGGGAAGACACCGGAGGGACCGGTGGTTCTCCTTCCGATACGACTATCTGGTCCTCGTTTCCCCTAAAGTAGGATGTGCTTCTTCAAATTCCAGAGAACTCAGGTGACCTGGATTTATCAATGTGTCGCGATGAGACGAGAGAATCCCCTCCTCTGGGTGATCCGTTCGCCGCGGCCCAGCAATACATCTCTGTGCAAAGTTATTGTGCCGAGCTATACGATCAGAAACTTGCAGATCTCAAATATGAGAGCCGCGGAAGGGGCAAAGAGCGACTCAACGGCATGCTGACCTGTGTAGTGTGCGGCGACACTTCTTCTGGAAAACACTATGGTGAGTCTCCTCGAAATCGAATGGCGAGGAGCGAAACGTTCCAGTCCATCAGAGAATGAGAGGAACGCGAAAAACTAGCAGTGAGAATTTCTTCAGGGATCCTCGCCTGCAACGGTTGTTCGGGATTCTTCAAACGCTCCGTGCGACGCAAACTCATATACAGATGCCAGGCCGGCACGGGACGCTGTGTGATAGACAAGGCGCACAGAAACCAGTGCCAGGCTTGTCGACTCAAGAAATGCCTGCAAATGGGAATGAACAAAGATGGTAAGCTCATTCTCTCGCCAGTAGAGGTATACGTTCCTGTCGACGAAAATACGGGATGTCTCTGAATGCAGATGGGGAAAGAAACGTCATTCATTCCTATAGCTGTACAGAACGAGCGTCAACCCCGAAACACAGCGACGATCCGCCCTCAGGATGTTCTGAACTCGGCTGTCTCGGTGTCCTCGTCGGATCAGATCGTCAACCTGAACACAGCAGTCGGCATTTGTCCAGACCTCGCCCAATTCAAATTTGGACAGAGTCCGCCGTCCAGTAGTCAGAGAGACATCAACGTAGCTGATGATAACCTAAGTCAAAACAGTCACAAAGGTAAATCAGAGCGCAATCTTTATCGGATCGTTCCAGCTCGGGACATACCGGCTGCCTCGGCTTGTGAATCGGGGGAAGTCCCACAATGGTCGGCATGTTGACGTAATCCTTGTTTACTCACTCGTATTCGTCGTCCTCCCTCAGAACAAGACCAAGGCTCCGGCTCGGGCTCTTCGTCAAAAGATTGCGCTTCTCCAATGCCGCTGCCATCTCCATCGCCCACCAGACCAACCTCTTCATCATCGGGCTTAGTTCCCCCTCTTACGAATCTCCCGCTTTTGTTCGGTATGAGTCCATCGGCCACGTTGCCTAATCCATTCATGTACTCAACGCAGGAGAGCATTTACGAAACATCGGCTCGTTTGCTCTTCATGGCGATAAAATGGGCTAGGAATCTTCCGTCGTTCGCGAACCTTCCCTTCCGAGACCAGGTAAGTGCGCGTTGGAAACCTCCGCCGATAACCTCGACGCATGATCGGCAGCTCGCGAGCCGTTCGTGACTCGTGACTAGTGAGGAACCTTACCTCCAACAGGTGATTTTACTGGAAGAAACGTGGTCGGAACTCTTTGTTCTTTGTGCCATTCAATGGTGTCTGCCGCTAGACAGCTCTACTTCTACTCATCCCTCGATCCATCCACTTTTCGATATTAACGAACACATGTCCACTTCGGCTACTCTGAAAGGGAATCTCGGTTTATTGAATTCAATCAAGCAGCTCCAGGAGATCCTGAGCAAGTTCCGATCTGTATGCGTGGATCCTGCGGAGTTCGCTTGCCTGAAAGCTATTATCCTGTTCCGCGCCGACGCTAGGGGACTCAAGGTAAAGGACGATTTTCCGGGGCGCAGCTCACCGCAGCGGAACAACCGTAGATTAACAACTCTCGACGGAAGCTCGTTTCATGAGACACTCCCGATTCCAGGACTGTCATCACGTAGAGGCTCTTCAGGACCAGGCCCAGTTGATGCTGCAGCAACATGTGCGCTCTCAACATCCGACTCACCCAGTTCGATTCGGACGACTCCTTCTGATGTTACCCTCTCTGCGAACAGTGTCTTCGGACAAGATAGAATCTCTTTTCTTCCAGAAAATCATCGGATCCACTCCCATGGAGAAACTTTTGTGTGATATGTTCAAGTGCTAGAAATCAAGGTTGCCGGAATTACGGTTTACTTCCTGCTCGTAAGCGGATCTTCGCAGTCGTCGACACCGAGTTTCATCTTGTAGTTTAGCAAGTTCAGTAGGAGCATGAGATTTTGCGAACCGGAGTTAAGGTAATTACCCACGAATACTGTATGTGTATCTCAGGAGTTAGCGGCGAAGTCCATTCAAAATCAAGTTTTTCTCGAGCGAGTCGACTTCCCATCGACGTCTCTCAGTAAGTCAATTCTAACTAGTTCAATACGCGGGATGACATCACCGAGGCAATATTACATTCATATGTATTACATCATTGTGTCAGCTCTTATATATACAGAATAAAAACATTGCTACCGAACCGCTCGATCGGTCTTCTGCATTCTTTGTGTCAGGCGGCGTTTACGGTAAGACGGGCGATTCGAGAGCGCCAGCCGTCCTATTCGATAAGTCGAGACACGTAACGCCAACAAAAACTCAAAGTCGCTCCCGAAGCAGACTCTGTACTTCGTCGGATTCGAGAGAGCATGTGGTCTGACAATAGCTCGTTGAGCTCGCTACTTTCTCGCCATGCCACTTGGCCCGCATCAAGTCTTTCAAGAATTGTGATCATAAATGACAACATCGAACAACCTAAATAAAGGTGCACTGGCACCTGGACGAGTCAAATCGAGAGCAGCTCGAGAGCAACTCGAGAGTGTCGAGGTCAGCTCCCAACTGTCTGAAAATCAACACCTCCGGCAATTTGCTACTTCGTCGCTCATGAATATGCGTTTCCCTATAGGCATGAGGGGGTTCCAGGATTCGAGTGGAGCGCTTTGTTTGTTGGTCGTCCTCGCGCGAGAAGTATTCACTCAAATTTCCCCGACGCGAATCGATTCGGCATTCAGCGCTGGACAGGAATCCGTGGAAGAATATCGGGCGAAAAACGACGCTGCCTTCAGATCAGGGTATTACCTCAAAGGACCGAGTGCCCCTGCGCAGCATCAGCACACTACAGCGGGGCGAGCACCGTCTAGTTTCGGTGATCATGCGAGGTTGTTCTGTGCCGCCACTCTAGATCTCGTCAACAAGTGAGTGGGGACCAGATCACGATCTTACGACACTTCTCCAAACTAGAGCTGTCGACATTGATCCTCGAATTCAGGAAATCGGTGTCGAGAGATGCTACGAGCGGTCTCCGAAATTTGACTCTCGAAAGCAACACTCGGGCAAAAGCCGCCCAGGATGCCTGTATCAATGCAGTTCGCGAGAACTCCTCGTGCCGAAACGTAAATCGCTACACTTTCGATGGCTCGTGCAACAACCTCGGGAACCCGATACTGGGACGGACGAATACTTGTCACAAACGCCTCTTGCCCCCATCTTACGAAGACGGTAACCATTGAAGACTAGCCCGTGACAAATGAGGAGTACAAATCGCCGAAAAATTGTTTAGAGGAAGGATGAGTCAGATATGTGCGAGAATCTCGATTTTTCCAGGCGGGAGTCATTTCCGACCCACATGTTGTATGTGTATCTCAAAACATTCGATTTGACGCCATCCCCAGGGGTTGAGGAGCCGAGGCGAAGGAGTTTCTCAGGCGGCGTTCTGCCCAACGAGCGAGTGATTTCGCTGAGGGCGCTCGACTACATCTTACCCCGAGTTCGTGATGATCCTCAGTACAACCACAACAGGATGTCCTTCGGACAATTCATAGCTCATGACATCACTTTGACACATACGACCACTATTGGAAGTTCGTAAGCTATTGGAGTACATGAAGATCACTGATCTGATTCCTCGCGAGAATCCTGGACGACTCGGGTGTCGGGATTTTCCTGGAGAGCGATAGTCTCGGATGATCATCGAATCTGAGAATATGGATGAGATTTTCAGATATGGCTCCGTTACAGCTTCGAATGCCCTGCCTGATTGTTGTAGCCCGTCGACGCGGGTCGAGCAATGCTTTCCCGTAACTATCCCCTCTCCGGATCGAGTCTACGGGAATCGCGGCTGTATGAACTTCGTTCGATCCGAGCCATGCCCGACGTGCCAGCTGGGACCGCGCGAGCAGATGAACTCAGTCACATCATTCGTTGATCTCTCCCTAATATACGGTCTCACCAGCCAGGGAAATTTCAACTTGAGAACCGGATCCGGAGGTTATGTCCCCTTCCTCTTCCAATAGACTCTGAGAATTCCTGGTCGGATCTACAATATCCCTGGACGTACAATTCCGAACATTTCCGTGCAATTTTGAATGTTCTCCAACAGGGTTGCTCCGGGGTCAAGCTCCTTACGATACGGCCAGACCGTACCTACCTCTGTTCATGCCGCCGACGACGCAGACATTGGGCGATGGCTGCAGTCAGCCTGGCCGTCCCTGCTTCACGGGCGGAGATCCTCTACGCGTAAACCAGCAGATTGGAATATCCGCATGGTCCACGCTTTGGTTCAGATACCACAATTATCTCGCTGACAGGTCGGAGCCCTAGATCATTGAGAGAGATCAAATGGCGGAGAAACAATCAATCTGACTCGCGGAAGGAATAAATGATTCGACCGCTCTTACAGGATCAACAGACACGCTCGGTCCAGGGGGGAACGATGGTCCGATGAGCGGATTTTCCAGACGGCCAGGAGGATTGCTCAAGGGCACATGCAGATCCAGGTTTACCGTGAATGGTTACCAACCGTCGTCGGCTCGAATATTCTGTCCGTTTACAAGTTAGGCATCCAGCGAACCCAGACCGACTACGACTCCGATGGCGATCCCTCTCTGTGGAGCGAGTTTGCGGGCGGTGCTTTCCGCTTCGGACACTCCTTGATCCAGAATGTGTTCAAGAACCGGAATTACCAAACGGATGTCGATCAGCCGGAGTTCGACGTGCCTACGCGAGACGCTTTCAGCACGATTCCGAACTACTACGACTTCAACTCCGAGTTCAAATTCGAGAATTTCATAGCCGGCATGCAACGCCAAGGAGGTGACGAAACTGTGACGTCATTTTTCGATGCGTCGCAGCGTAGGTACCGTTAGTCGCCACTGAGCGACGGATTCCGTAGAACTCAGGTTACTTTTCAGCAAAGCAAATCTCGTTCTCGTTCGCACCGGGTGTGGCGAACGACGTGTATCGCAATGCTACCGAGTCGTACGGTATGGATCTTGCAGCTCTGAACATCCACCGCGGTCGAGATCACGGTTTGCAGCCCTACTACAAATACGCCGAGCTATATCTCAGTAGGGCGCATGGCAGAAATATCAGAATCCAGAAATTCAGTGATATCCGACCTTTTTGGCGCAGCGAATGCTACGACGAGCTGCCGAAGGTTTACAGGTGAGCGATGCCGCCTCCGAGGGATAAGCAGGGTGTGCATATATGTATATCGAGTTCCAGGCGAGCTCCCATCGTTCAGGGTCTTTTTGAGAGCTCGAGCGCACAATGAGATACGAATCCTGAAGACGATCATCGATCCGACAGAGATATTCAAGACGTAGATCTGTACGTCGGTGGATTGTGTGAAGTCTCACCGATATCCGGGTCCGTGGGGCCGACAATGGGCACCATAATCGCGATGCAATTCCAACAACTTCGCTATGCGGATCGACTTTTCGTAAGCCACAGGAACGTTTTCACGCCCAGTGAGTCTCTTATGGAACGCAGAAGCATTGAATCATTTTCCTGTGATGCGGCCTCCGTCGCAGATTCGAAAAATATTATTATCGTGATAACCACGAGAATGTCACTCGACTCCCCTCCTTAGCACAATATGCAGAACTCCTGCGCACCGGCTGGCTCTACTGGGTCGTGTGCGCATCGGCGGTGAATCAGCCGGCCGTTTACAGAAACGCTTTCCGCCACGATCTCTGGTGAGGATTTTCATGTATTCCTCCCTCCCACCGAATTCACGTTTCTGCCGATGAAAAAAATGTCTCACACGATACGTCTCCTTCCAGGGATTTCGAGTACTGCAGCGATCTCAGAGAAATTGATGTCTCTCTCTTCACGGATGTAGCAAGCTACGTCTGAGCGTAACAGTCTCAGATAGAGGAGACTGGAATAAGTAAAAGGAGTGAGCATGACGACTTGGAGCGTGTTGCACTGTACTTCTAGGAATTCCGAAAGCCTCAGAATAGGGGTAATTGCTCATGATCGAGCGTGACTTTGAGCGGCAGATCCAGGAATGCCCAATGGGGGAGAGTGAACATGCCTCAGAGGGGGCGCAAATAGCAGTAGTAGATAGATACTCAAGTTCCCTTTCACATTGGCAAGAGAGCGGTCCGCATCCGGATAGAGGAGGCCTTGCCGCACGATCATCGCAATTCAGACCGGCGCGGTCGCTTGGTGGGCTCACACCCGCGTAAGAACGGGCTGCGGTCAAGTCGAACCATCGGACCTAACGTGAAGCAGTCTCATGGCGCTACTCAGATATTCTAGAGATCTACGCGAGAGCCTCGTGACTCATGACTCATGACCACGAGAAACTCGCCCGCTGCTTCCCGAAACCAGAAGTAGATATCAGACTCTTCGACCGAATTCAGACACTTGAGTTTTGTTGAATGCTTCCCCAGCATTTCCGAGCTTTGGATAGATATGATGTCTTCGACGATGATCGACTCGTGGAAGTCTCGGATCCACACGGCTTACAATTTGAAGCGGAAAAATTGACGGAGAAGCTCCACAGAATATCCGAGTACTGATCCGCCTTTCCCACGTTGAAGAGATATATTATTCGAGGGACCATAATTTCTGTCTGAAAGGACCTCCACTGACTGTATCCCATCCTGTGTGCGTAGAGTAGGTTTCGGAAGGTAGAGAACGCTAGTCAGCTCGCGATCGAAGGCAAAACACAATGTGGGAAGGGTGGCTGAACGATTGTCAAGAGGAACCTTCGCATACCAATGGAAGAGAGACCACCGAAGTTTAACTCGGAAGATTGTAAGGAAACGGGGGAATCTATAGCTTAGCATTGCTCACTTACAAGGGATGTACCTGAAATGATGAGCGAGTTGGGAGCCGAAACTTGGCTGATTTCTTGGTCGATTCGAGACTCGAAAAACCCTAAATTATTTCGTCCTAATGAGCACATCTGAGCGAATACTGGAATTTTGGTCATCTCCCCATAGAGCCCATCGGAGTCCCGTAGAACGCTTCCTACTGCCATTTGACGATATGAATATGTGATCTAAACGCTCGCGTCGCTCCGAGGATGTGTCCTTTCGAATGTCTCGCCGCAGCACTCGCTATCCAGGGTGGTTTCGATTTCCCTTTCCCCGCCGACGTGGGGTGAATTTAAAGCTTCCTAAATCTCGGATCATCGATAACTTGCAATGGAGTGCACCAGGACGTTGAATGGGCTCTATGGCGGAATGACCGAAAGCTCAGATACGCTCATGAGGACGTAATAATCTGGGGTTTTCCTGGGCTTGAATAGACTAAGATTCCAGCCAAGTTTGAACTTTCAACTCGCTCATCATGTCGGGTACCTCCCTTGTTAGAATATAGAATATAGAACACTCTTTGCGGAGGGTCCCTAGCATTTCCGGACACTAGAAACTGTCTGTAAGGAATCGCCTCAAAGAATCGTGCCTACTTACTGCTTTCGTCGCAGCCACAACGAAGGCTCAGCTTTTCTCGCAAGGAAATACTCCCCAGCAGAGGGCCACAACTGACCCGGACGCAGTCTTCGAGGCATTTGTATTACGTCGAGTCGCCCGTTGCTCAAATCTCGCTTAGGCCGCGCAACATGCCAGGAGTGCATCGACTTGGCTCCATGGAATCCTCGGAAGTCTGTTGCGCGTTCATTGCACCTCAGAGTTGACATGCGAGTTTCCAAATGCCCGCTTCCTATTCGCGGGTCCGAGCATGATAGAGTTGATAGCCTCGCCTACAGGAAGATTTCATCCATTCAGGAGTCTTGCTGATCATATAATCAATGCCATGTCAGTTGGTGGAGATATCGGTGTACCACATGGGAAGAGGTCTCACTCGAGGGGCGAGCTGTTTCCCTTGCACATGCAGCAGAGAGCATCGTCGCCGCTGTCCGCCCAGGACATCCTCAGAGTTTCGATGGCACTTCCGGCCAGTAGGAGGGCGGACAAGAGGTATCCCGCGAAAATCGCATCTCGCAACTCGCAACTCAATTCTGACAGGTCCTTCAAGAAAAACAATGTCAGTGCGATATCGGCTTCCAAGGTCGCCAATATGTGCGTGAATGGCGAGGACGACGTCGCAGCGTGCTCATATCTCCTACGCATTCAGTCAATCAATCACCTACCTGAGGTTCGGGTTGCGATTCCGGCATGTATTTTCGGCCAGAGCGGTGGACTCGATTGTATGGTATGTATGTGTTGGCACAAGGATGACGGGAACGGCAATCGATTCGTATGACAAAATCTGTGTTACTCGGCGGGATCACTCTATCAACGGGTGGAGATTCTGGGCAAATTGGTTGCATTTTTCGCAACCCTGATGACCGCCGGTCGGCGATGGGAGTCGCTCCCCTCGGAGTGCGAGATTCACGAAAATCTAGGGAAGATTGAGGTTGGTCCCCGCAAATCTCCTTCCCGCAAGCTCTCAAGCAATCGTTTGAAAGAATAGACTCCGGCGGCAGAGCGGGCGAAAAATCCATATCCTCCTCAAGCCGGGCGCATGCTGGGGCGAGTCCATGCAATGCCCGCTTTTAGTAGACAGCGATTGAATCTGGACATATCCGGTAATACCGGAAAGAGCAGAGTGATCTCAGTTTCGTCTCAGAGAAGTATTGTAGTGCAGCCATCAGATCCACCGACACGCAGACGCAGCGATGATATTGTTGCGACACACTATTTACGAAGAATCAGGGCCAGGCATCGCCAACCGAGCCGCGAACCATCGCGCGTTCGGTTTCCAATCCGATCGGATTGGTTGGGGAAAATCTCACGCTCACAATTACCGGAGAACCGAGCACTCGAGCGGTGCCCGGGCGGGTTCTTTCCGAAATTCAATACGATCAAGTCATGAAATTTGAATACCTCTCCGATCAAAAACGTGCAGTTAGATTTCACAACAATGCGCGTGGATCGTGTGAGACTGCTGTATGTAGATCATATATGCATCGGAGCTGAAGATGAGTTAGATTCCCGTTCGAACGGCGAATGCGAGTTATAAGCGGGGGGAATTCAAGGAGCGCAATCCAACAAATTACGTATGCACATATTGTTTTAGGTGTGAGACAATCGAAAACTATGTTCAAAAGTATCGGTGCTCCGGTCGCGAGCATAAGCTTGCGTCGTCGGTATTTGCCGGAGAAACGTCATTTGACACGCTGTTCCGGGATTCGAATAGCGGAGTTATTCGAGGCTCCTTTCGAAACGTCGTTGTGACAAAAGCGACCGCGGGATCGCGTCCCAACGGTCTTCGACTCGGCTGCGGCTTCATCGGCACCGCAAAGGAGCCTTTCTCCGGGGCGCATTGCGATCAGCTGAGAATGAGCCCAGTAATTAATGTAGATGAAAAGGTGAACTCGATTGTTCCGAGGCACTTTGCTATCGTTCCGGTACTTAGCTTCCAGCTTCCGTCGAGCCCGTTTCGACAGCGGGGATCGATCCATCCCAACATCGGGCGAAAACAAAGAAACGCATGGACGCGCGGAAAGACGATTTCCCGGTCAACGGCAACAACCACGAGAAGCGCATTTATTTGATGGATTCTCTTAATCGGACAAATACAATCGTAGTTGGTTTGGGGACGCCAGGAAGTTTTTACCACGATTGCCTAACTCGACACTGCGGAATCACCGATGTTTCGAGGGTCACTGTCTCACGACGTCGGAGTTCGAATCGAGCGATCGTCAAAGCGGTTGCATTAGAATCGGTCTCTGTGACTGCGGTTCCATTGGAATTCGGTACTCGATGAAAATCTCCAGGTTCTCCTCATCCTCGAGGGGTTTCGATGGACAGGCTTCGAAAATGGCAGGGCATAAGAAGCGGAGCGGACGAGAGGGCGGGGGCTCTTGAAGAGCTAAATCCCGGAATATGGATTCTTTGAATGATTACTCGCCCGAGGGCTCCAATTGATTCGATTCCCTTCAACGAAATTACACGGTATCACGATAGTCAACGAGGTCCTGATTCACGTTTTGTCTCTTATTTCTCACAGTTTTTGCATATCGAGGCGAAATTCCTCGGATGACCTTCCAGAAGCTATTGTAGATCAATTTACAGGGTGGTAAACGTGTTCGCTTACAATCGTTTTCCGGCACACGTGATCGCATTCCGCTCCGAGTTCTGAACGGCTTAAGGTCGATGGCTGCTGTCCGAGCCGATGCTGTTGCTGTCGATTTTCGCGTTTAAAAGTGTTACTCGCGTTGTGCGACCCGAAGTGCACCACGCTCTTCGGAAATGGAAGGGAAACGGTTCAGCATGGACAAATCAGCGAACGAAACGACAATACCACTTTTCTTCGTTTCCCCCTTTTTTCCTTGGATATTTTACGAATTCTCGAAAACCGTACCGGATTTAAGGACCGTCTCTATATACCGTTCCATGTGCGAATTTTTTGTCCAGCTGGAACTTCATTGTTTCTCGTGGATACGAGCGCAATGCGAAGGTTCCATGTTTTGGGTGGTAGAAAATTTCGAGCGGATTGGAGGTGATCACGCAGATCGAGACTTCCCGCTCACTATCATGATCCGCTCAGGGAAATGTTCTGCTTGCAGAAGGTGATGAAATTATATATCCCAATCAAGTCCCTCGGATACTTCAGTTCTACGGTTGACGACAACCGCCACGACGGCCCTTGATCGGCCAGCAGCCGTAGCGTTAGGAGTGATTGTCGCCGCTATTTGACGCACCAAGTGACGTCCTTCTTGATAAATCGGAATGTCTAGAGGCGAAGCAGCGTTCGAATGAGGAATTCGATTACCAAACATCGGCCAATTGTTTGTCAGGGCATAGAAAAATAAATGAAGAGAGAAACACGACTTCAGAGGAGGAACAGCACGCTCAAAATAGCTCCGGAAAATCGTCGGTTTTTCGCGGCTTCCATGAATCACTAGCTGCATTCGCTTCTCATTG